GTATAACAGGAAATACCCGAGGTCAGTCGCAAAATAAAAGTTGGTTGAGAGCATATTCTGCTCCTCAAGTTTGCCAGTCAAATTCAAATACCATTGTAATTTTTAAAATGTTGATAATTTTTCGTAAATAAATTATTGCAGATTAAATGCGCTCGTCAGAGTCGATAGTTTTTTTCTTTTACTGAGTTCGATTTGTCTGATTAGTAAGCTAAAGTTCTCATCACAGCAACTGTGTTTTTTTCGTTTTCCTTAATTTGTTTTTTTACTATTGAAATACTAACAACTTTTTGAGCCTTCCGAAAATTCACTGTGTTATTATCAAGGTCACTTTGCATGGATGATTGAAGCCGTGAAACGATCCTTTACCAACCAGAGAGCTTGCATCTTTAGAATCGCCAGAGTAAAACCAAGTAAACAGAGACCTTTCATTTGCCTTAAATTTCGTGACCTATCAATTTAATTCAAGATAAAGGAGTGGAGCGCTTTTCAATCGCACGTCGAGCCTTATCCTGAACTCAATTTAATCGGTTACTTTTATTCTAGGACTGTGTCTCGACAACCCCGCGTCACTCGCTTAATCAGATATAAAATAAAACCAAGCATCATTGGGCCCGTCGCGTTTTCCTGCGCTTGTGCTTGTTTTTACTTCAGTTCTCATTGCTTCCGTGTGATGTTTCCTGCGTTGCTTAGTTATTCTTATTTTTGTTTTTCATTTTTTACACCATTTGAATTTTATTTGCGCATCTTCAGGAGGCTACGATGCTTTTCAATGAAGTTGACAAAGACGAAAAGGGAGGCATTGATTACGAGGCGTTTTTGGCTTTGATACGGGTAAGAAATCAGTTTCAGTTTTGAGTAAGTTAGATTATAAATTCCGACTTGAAATGGTGTCAAAATGTAATAAGAGAAAATTTTGCAAAACGAGGTGGAGGCAAATTTGTCACTGTTATTCATCTACCTTTGGATGTCATCTGTGATCTGTAGTTAAACATACGTCCAGCAAAATGGAATCCATCGTCTGTAAGCAGCAAAGGAAAGAAATTTTAAGCTTGCCTCATAGCACTCAACTATTCTGGATTTATTTTTGGACAGGTCATTGTTTATCGC